CTATTTCTTTTTTTCTTTTTTCTTTTTGGAGAATTTGTCTTGTTTGTTTCATCTTGATATTACCAGTCATTTGGCATCCACTTTTGCTAAGTGGTTCAGTCTCTTGCAACTGTGTTTTTGTGTTCCATATGTTGTCAAAGATCAATCCTGTATTTTTGTTTATTAAGACAATAATGTTCTTTCAAGTTTCAAGTTCAACTTAATCCACATGGTTCTCCAAAATCATGTTTCAATTCTAGTTTAATTATATTGGATGAATGACACGTGTCCATAATGATATCATTATTATACACGTGTCAATCATCCAATTCTAGTTTCATTCTATTGGATGAATGACAAGTGTCCATAATGATATCACTATTATACATGTGTCAATCATCCAATAGAATGATATAGAAATTGAGACATGATTTCAAAATTATAAATCTTTTCTTTGACTCTAACGATGATTGCAATGCAGCTAACAATAATACACCAACAAATTGCTAGAAATCCCACTTGCATAGCATGTTTTTTTACAAATTCTTGCATTAATTTCTCCCTCTAAATAACCACCAATCAAGAAGTAGAAGCACACTCAAAAAATTGTAACAAATGTTAAAAAACTAAAAGAAGATGATAACAAAGTTAAAAATTTTAGCTTCTCTAATATTATAATACATGCTTGAGTCTCAAATCTCAAATATGAGATTGAAAAAAGCCCAAAATTTGCTCAAGAAGATTTGTATTTCATTTGAAATCCATCTCAAAAAGTTTAAAAATGGGCATCATTTTGTAAACGTTTGTACATACTCTATTAATGAAAATTAGTTTGGTAACGAATCCACTTATCACGAGGGCTTCTTCCATTATAAATTTCGTAACATTTATTTTTGTGTAATGTTGGTTATATTCAAAATAATTCTTACTATTTCAAGAGTAGCGAATGCAAGATTGATAAAAACAAACTATTATTATCGAAAGTTTATATTATGAGTAACGTGTAATAAGTTTTGACTGATGTCCCACTTTTATAATCGAAAAATTTTAGATTTAAGGAGTTTTACATTTATAGTGTCATTTTTCATTCACTATTTCCCGATATATTATTTTGTAAGATATAAATATTCAGACAATTGACAGTTACATGAGAGAGAAACTTCCGAGTACTGATTCAAATAATCATAGAGACAACCACCATTTTCGGCCTTTTTTCTTTACTCAACTGCCCCGTTAATCCAACGGCCCAGATTCTCTCTCGTTTTACCTCTCATTTGTAGTTTTTCCTCAACTGCCTTGCACAATAACCATCTTCACAATCTCTATAGAAAAGAAAAAGTTCCCAAAAAAGGGTTCACAATTCACAAATTCATCGCCATTTTCTCATTTCAATCTTCAAACGCTCGAGAGCCCAAATAGCGTAAAAGGGTCACAGAGAAAAAGAAAATGTCTACCGAAAAGGAGAGAGACACCCATGTCTACATGGCCAAGCTTTCCGAACAAGCAGAACGTTATGACGGTATATATACATACGTGCATACATATATGCATATAGCGTATGCGTATTCACATTTCCTTGATGTATTCGCTTGTATACGATGCCCGTGATTCTTTATTGCCCGAGTTTATGTATGCCCAGATTTGAATTTTGGAAATGCATTTTGTGGGTCGTTGTGTTTTTTGTTTGGGGAATTTTATCGAACATGTAGAATGCATATTTTTTTGTTTTGTGGGTATGTGTATTTGAGGGCCTTTTTTTTTGTGATGATATGATCTATCTGAATGTAGATGCATAATAAATGTAAATGTTTATGGATTAGAATGCCTACGCTTGTGAAAAGATCACTTTTTTTGTCTGTTGTTTCTTTTTTCGTTTTTAAGTAACAGTTTTCATTATGTTTTTCAAATGTGTATATAGATCATGAGACAGCTTGATTTAAAAGTAACTAGTGTAAATCCCGTGCGATGCACGGAAGAGTTCATATTTTAAATATTTTTTAGACTTTATTTTAAATATAATTATTTATATTTTTCACATCTCGTCTATTATGAAAATAAAATAAATACAATCAATGAAAAATATATAATATTAAATACTTTTCTTTATACAATATTTTTTATTTAAGGAATATTATTAAACATTACAGTTTTGATTTGTTTTTTTAAATCAATAATCCAAAATATATGATTGTTAACGTACAAAAAATAATGGAAATAATCCAGACTTTAAAGTAAAACTATTTTTTATTATTTTACAAATAAAAATTTTCCAATTTTTTTTTTAATTTAAAAAAAAAAAATTGGCAAGTTTGATAATGAGTTAAATCAAGTTATACAAATGCTTAAATAGTTAAAATGTTATATTAATTATATTTTAAGAAATCCGATTATATAAAAATGGGTAAAAAAATATTATACTAATTAGTTTGTTAGGATTGTGATTATATGGAAGTTAAAATAAAATGAAATGTAACCAAAAAATTTGTTCGTGGTTTTTTCCTAAATGTTTGAATTTAAAAATCTAGTAACCAAATTTACATTATATCACGTAAGGAAAAAAAATAAATAATAAATATTTATTAAAGAGATAAATCAATAATATTTATCACTTAGATAATAAATAATAAATATTTACATGTAAAAAAATAAATAATAATATATTTAAAAATATAAGTCAGAATTTCAAATAAAGTAAAAGGAGGGATAACTCATTTTTTAAAAAAATTTTCTAAATATTTAATATATTGATAAGTATCTCCATAAGAATAATCATACCATTTTAATTTTAAAAAAATTGGCAAGTTTGTTAGAGAGATAAATTCAGTTAGACAAATGATTAATTTGTTAAGATATTATATTAATTGTATCATAAAAAATCGGTTAGATAATGTAGATAAAAAAATATAATACTAATTAGTTTGTTAGAAATGTGATAATGAAAACTAAGATAAAATGAAATAATTTTGAATATCATATAAAGTAAAAGGTATGTTTATTCAAATTTATTTTTAAAATAAAAGTTATGATAAACATTTATTGATTCTCTTTCAAATATATTAATAAAATAAAAATATAAACCTAAACAAATTTTGAAACAACCAAAAAAATCGGATTGATTGGCATAAAAAAGGAAGTGAAATCGGATTTGAATGCTAAAATCGGAACACCTTATCAAATTTAATGCTAAAAGATTCGATTTGATTGGTTACTTAATTGCATGGCTGAAAAAATTCAAAAAAAAAATTTACGAATTGAAAAAGCGGGAAAAACACTATATTGAAGCGGGAAAACGAAATGATTATTTTCGGATTGTTCAAATAATTTTTCTTCTCCGTATTATATAGTAATAGATTATAAGAACCCAACTGATTGAAATTAATATGGCTTCCATGTTAGACTCTCTTTAATTTTTCCAAGAATAAAAATGTAGTCTTTACCAAATTTACGTGCCCTTTTTGCGCCTTTAGAAATGGTCGAGAGCATGAAAAGGATTGCAGAACTAGATGTCGAGCTTACAGTGGATGAGAGGAACCTGCTATCGGTTGGGTACAAAAACGTAATTGGTGCTCGTCGAGCTTCCTGGAGAATTTTATCCTCAATCGAGCAGAAAGAGGAAACTAAGGGCAATGAGAACAACGTGAAGCTGATTAAGGGTTATCGTCATAAGGTGGAGGAAGAGCTGTCCAAGATTTGCCGAGACATCCTCTCGGTTTTGGACAAGAATCTAATCCCATCTTCTGGTTCAGGGGAGGCCACTGTTTTCTACTATAAGATGTAAGAAAAATGCAATCTTGCAAGTTTATTATTGCTTCTTACTGTGAAAATGGCTATTTTTCTGTTTTCTCTTGATGTAGAAGCTAAAGATTCAATTTTTGGGGGGATTTTTCTTAAAAAGGGACTACATTAGGATGTCACGAATGCAAGCTTTGAGTTTCTGTTTGTATGGTTTGCTGCTTCAATCTTTTCCCGGCAATCCATTTAAGGGAGTTTTAAAAAAATAATTATTCTCTTGAAGTAGAAGCTAAAGATTCAATTTTTGAGGGATTTTTCTAAAAAAGAAACTACATTAGGATGTCGCGAACGCATGCTTTGAGTTACTGTTTGTATGGTTAGCTTCTTCGATCTTTTTCCGGGCAATCCATTTAAGGAAGTTTTAAAAGAAAATCTAAACAAAACGGTAATAGTTAGCTTCTAGGTGGAGAAAATCAGGATCTGTTTTT